TCTAAGGAGTTGTTTATGTGTAGGGATCTGATAGAGCTGATACTTGGAGCTTGGACCTATTCAACTACAGTTCACACTTGAGGTGAGTCTCCTCACCATACCAATGGGTCTAAGGCACCAAGGCCGGCCCATTCAGCTAGTTGTAGTGTTTATTGTGGATTCACTACTGATATGTCTGGTATGCATGCATATGTGAATGTGCTAGTACTTTGTTAACTAGATATGTGAAGACCCCGGGGGGAGCCCGTGGCAGTTGGATATCAGACCATAGGGGGAGCCCATGGCATTCCAGGTAAAGACCATGGGGGAGCCCATGGCAAGTAGTTAAGACCATGTGGTGGAGCCCATGACACATAGGTATAAGACCCTGGGGGGAGCCCACGACATCCGGGAGTAAGACCCTGGAGGGAGTCCACGACATCCTTATATGTTTGGTTGCATGGCTTATGTGGTTGATATGGTTTATGTGATTAGGTGGATTGTGTGGGGTATGCTCTGGGGGAACTCACTAAGAATTAGCTTATAGTTTGTTGGTTGTTTCTGGTACTTCGGGATCTAGGGGCAAGGGCCCGACATGATGGCACGACATGCACTCTCTGGCATTTTGTTTGGGGACACTCTGATATTGTGAATAAATGTAACCGATGTTTTGGATTTGAAAACAAATATGATTAGAATTTTATAATTGAATATGGGTTGTTATTTAAAATGAAAAATTTTATTTGAAAATTTGGGTTGTTACAAGTTGGTATCAGATCCTTGGTTTGAGGGATTTGGCCGCACTCTCGGGTATGTCAGAACTCAAACTAAGGAAATGGTAAAATTGTTTCCAAAAGTCAAAAGTTAAAAACTTCTTAAAACTGAAAAAGGGAGAGTGCAATGCGTGTAATCGGCCGAGCTCAAGTAAGTGCTTCCCCAATATGTTAGCCATGCTATATTGATTTTCAGAATTTGATAATTGGATGGATTTTGCTATGTGTATGCTTTCAAAATTGTATACGGTTAGGATATTATAGCCTTAGAATAATTGATTTGGCCTTATTTCCTAATCCTTGTCTGGTTGTGGTCCTAGGGTAGAGTCTGTTATTCGACAGTGTATTTGATCCTGTTCTGTGTATAATTTGCATGCATAGGGCAACCTGTTATGACTGCTGGGATTCTGATTGGATGGGACTGAGTAAATCTTAGGATAGCCTAGGATTTGAGTTATGCAGTAGTTTATGAGATATGTTTATTCTGGGACGGATTAGATTTATCAAGTAGAGCCTCGGGGAAGGTACAGGTAGGTGTGGAAGGTAGTATTGGGCTCATACTACTGAAAGCACATGACTTGTACCCGAACCAATGTTAGACCTAGAAGCTCTAAGGAGACCGGTGCGGAGGGATCCCCTTTTGAATATCCTGATCATTCTATTTTATGGTATTTTCAATTGAGGATGGTGATGATTACGCGATGATCGGGATCAGGATCAGGTTCTGGGTCAGGCTCCGGTACGGAGCTTATCGACGAAAGGTTGCGTAAGCTTATCGCGGCCGAGGTTACGAGGGGCATTCTTGACGCTACCCTTGTGATTTTCGGGACCGTCAAGGAGGGGATGATGGAGATTATGGAGGAGCGGCTCAGGTCTTTCCGAGCCGAGATTGCTGCGGGCCAGGTCGGGGCCTGAATTCCCTCGTTCCGGGAGTTCAAGGCGTATGGGGTGCCTGAGTTCTTCGGGGTCCGGGACCCCTTAGCTAGTCGATGCTGGGTGGCAGACATGGAGACGCCCAACGCACAAGCTTTTCCCCCGGGGCGGCAAAGGTGGGGCTTGCTTCGTGCTTGTTGAGGGACCGAGTCAGGGAATGGTGGGAGGAGGTGACCCGCTAGGTAGGATCATCAAGAGTGGCTAAGATGACATGGGAGGAGTTTTTCAGGAGATTCGATTTGGAGTTTGCACCATCCATCGAGGTGCAACGGTTAGTGAGAGAGTTTAAGGATTTACAGCAGACCACCGAGACCGTGGCGGAGATTACCGCCAAGTTTCGGGAGCATGCACTATTGATACTGCAGTATGCTACGGATGAGGATATGAGGAGGATGAGGTATCATTCCAGGCTGAGGGATGATATCCGGGAGTTCGTGAGCTTTTCTGGGTGCAAAACCCTGAATGAGATGGTGGAGAAGGCTCGGGAACGGGAGATGGAGTTGGAGCACTGCGCCAAGCGGAAGCCAGAGTAGGTTCAGACAGCTATGGGTCAGGCTAAAAAGCCTAAGACCACTGATTCTTCTAGTTGGGGTCAGCAGGGCCTGGGTCGATGTGCTAGGTGGGGTAAGACGCACAGTGGGGCTTGCCGAGCGGCGGGTTCGGGATGTTATGTGTGTAGCCAGCTGGGCCACGTGAGTAGGGATTGCCCCAAGAAGGGCTTGATTTGTTTCCACTGCAACCAAACCGCTCATAAAAAGGCCGATTGTCTGAGGTTGTAGGGAGGAGGAGGAGTAGTGGCGGCGCCTGCGCCCGCCACAATGAGGATCACTGATGGCCGACCTGCCAAGGCGGAAGCTCCTACGGTGAAGAGCCGTGCATTTCAGCTAACTACTGAGGAGGCCAGGGCAGCGCCAGACGTCGTGGATGGTACGTAATTTATTTTCCTACCTGATATTATATATATATATATATATATATATATATATATATATATATATATATGTGTGTGTGTGTGTGTGTGTGTGTGCTCTTGTATAGGGACCTTTTTGGTCAATAGTATGTCGGTCCATGTTCTTTTCGATTCGGGAGCTACCCGATCGTTTGTATCTCTTGCGCTTAGCAAGAAGTTCCAAGATGCACCGGGGACTTTGGATTCCCCGCTTGAGGTTGAGATTGCAGATGACCGCACTGTGACTGCTGGGAGAGTATATCGGGACTGTGTCCTGAATGTGTTTGGGGAGAGGTTCCATGTGCATCTGGTTCCGATACCGTTGCAGGGACTGAAGCTGATCGTCAGAATGGACTGGTTGGGGGCCAATGGGGCCATGATATATTGTGAGTGCCAGTTGGTGAGGGTTCGAACCCCAAGTGGGGGAGAACTGGTTATTCTTGGGGAGAGGGCCTCGCAGGGACCAACCCTCTCTTTGGCTGCGAGGGCTAGGAGACTTCTCCATCAGAGATGTTTAGGATTTTTGGCATACGTCTCGGATATGGGGGTTGAGACCAAGGCGGATTTGGACAATGTACCGGTTGTACGGGATATTCGGTATGTCTTTCCTAAGGAGTTGTCAGGGGTGCCTCCGGAGAGGCAAGTAGAGTTTCGCATCGATTTAGTGTCGGGTGCTGCTCTGATAGCCAAGGCACCGTACCGGCTAGCTCCGCCTAAGATGCAGGAGCTGTCTACGCAGCTTCAGGAGCTCCTAGACCGAGGGTTTATCCATCCGAGCAGTTCCCCGTGGGGAGCATCGATCCTGTTTGTAAAGAAGACAGATCACACAGGATGTGCATCGATTATAGGGAACTGAACAAGCTAACTGTGAAAAACAGTTATCCGCTTCCGAGGATCGATGATTTGTTCGATCAACTTCAGGGCATCGTAGTTTTCCAAGATTGATCTTCGGTCGGGGTACCATCAGATGAGGATTAGGGATGAGGACATACCGAAGACAGCTTTAAGAACTCGGTACGGTCACTATGAGTTTGTGGTGATGCCATTCGGGCTTACCAATGCCCCAACAACGATCGTGGACCACATGAACAGGGTGTGTAGGCCGATGTTGGATCGGTATGTGATCGTCTTTATCGATGATATCTTGGTCTATTCTAAGACCAAGGAGAAGCACGATCAGCATTTGAGGGAGGTATGGGAGACCCTGAGGACAGAAAGGCTTTATGCCAAGTTCTCAAAGTGTGATTTCTGGTTGCGTGAGGTGTAGTTTTTGGGGCACATCATCAACCAATAGGGTATTTTAGTTGATCCAGCCAAGATTGAGGCAGTGATGCGGTAGGAAGTACCGAAGAATGCATCCGATATCCATAGCTTCTTGGGCCTAGCGGGGTAGTATCGGAGATTTATTCAGGATTTCTCCAAGATTGTCGTACCTTTGACTCACTTGACCAAGAAGAATGTGACTTTTCGGTGGGGTCCGGATCAGCAGTTGGCTTTTGAGACCTTGAGACAGAGATTATGTGAGGCCCTGATTTTAGCACTACCCGAGGGATTGGACGATTTGGGGGTGTATTGTGATTCATTTATCTCGGGGATAGGGGTTGTCTTGATGCAGAGAGGGCATGTGATCACGTACGCCTCGAGGCAGTTGAAGCCTCACGAGGCGAACTACCCCACTCATGACTTGGAATTGGGGGCGATGGTGTTTGCCCTCAAAATCTGGAGGCACTACTTGTATAGGGTTCAGTTCACCATCTTCACTGACCACAAAAGTCTAAAGTATTTGATGGATCACCAGAACCTGAACATGTGGCATAGGAGGTGGTTGGATGTACTGAAGGACTACGATTGCGAGATTTTGTACCACCCCGGGAAGGCCAATGTGGTGGTTGATGCCCTAAGCCGCAAGGCGGAGAGTGCTTCGATTGGAGATGTTTGTTTGAAGATGACGGTGATTTCTCCTTTGTTAGATATGATCAAGGAGGCTCAAGTGGAGGGTCTGAAGAGAGAAAACTGGATGATAGATCGGATTCGGGGTCAGATACCCTTGTTTGATCGGGATAGTCGGGGTCTTTTGACACAGTGTGGCCGGGTGTAGGTACCGGTAAGTGGGGGAGTGAGGCAGAAGATCTTGGAGGAGTCACATTAATTTAGAGTATATAAAGTTAATTTCACATTGAAAATAACATTGACTTTGTATACTTTACGAAATGTTATTCAAATTATAACATTGTTATGATGTTCTAGTTCACAGATTGTATTACAATCTACTGATTTGTTTTTTTTTTTGCTAGGCATTGTTCAAAAAAGGTGCAAAATATATGGTAGTCAAAGGCCTCCCCAGAACCGGTTGCTTGACCCTCGCCATGTACCTCTATCCAGAGTCAGACCGCGATGACATTGGTTGTGTTGCCACTGTCAATAACCAAAGCTACATCTACAACACCATCCTCCAAACCAACATCCAAAACCTACGCAACAAATACTCAAAAGCTATAATTGTTTATGCTGATTACTGGAAAGCTTATCGCTCCATTGTCAAGAATGCACCAAAGCTTGGGTTCCACGAGGTTTACAAGGCTTGTTGTGGGTCTAGTGGTGGTCCCTACAACTTTGATTTTTCAGGTACTTGTGAGTCTGATTCTGCGAGTTCGTACAAAAACCCATCTCAATATATCAACTGGGACGGGGTTCACCTTACCGAGGCTATGTATAAAGTAGTTTCCGAGTTGTTTCTCAATGCTGCTTTCACTTATCCGCCATTCAAGTCCTTGTTAAGAAGCAAGCAAAACTCGGCTTAGGTGATGACAAATTTTGTAGTTGTCTGTTCGATTTTATCATTTTCCTTTATCAATCATTCTTAAATTGGTCTTCAATGATCAATGATTATATTTATAATAATTTCAGTTAATATTAAGGAACCCTAAAAGACGAAATGGAGCATTAAAGTAACAACTCACATGATCCATAACATTAGAACACTTTAATTGCCTACACGACTCTCCCGACTTTATGTCCCTTTAACAAGTACTAATTATCATACCTTACTATGTCTAAAATTGATAAATTATAGTATGTGATAAAAGTGATAAAATGATGATTTTATGTATTTTACGTATAACAATAATAACGATATTCATTAGGATTCATCTTAATATATTCCAAGAACAGAAACCAATACACGTCCATCTTGACCCTATCAGTTACAGGATTGGGCAGGTCTTTGCCTTGACCCGATTTATACACACCACTACAGGCCAAAGGAATCAACATTCTCAATGTGTTTTCTTCATGCATCAAATTGCCAAATATGTTTTCATCATAAATAAAAATTTAAACATTTTGTACAAACAAATGCAATTATAGTACACTTTTAGATTGATCACATTACTTTTAAGATCTCCAATAAGTTCTTAATCAAGCATCAAAAATTTCTTGAAAAAAATATTCTCTACAACACTTGTTCATGGATCAATAACCCCAAATGCAAGTGATATCAGTTCATTTGACAAAAGAAAACCATCCGGATCACTTAACCGAATAAATCCAATCTCATTTTCCAACTTTTCATCATCTAAAACCAAAGAACTAAACTCATCTTCTTTAATCTCTCTTCTTTCATCATCCAAAAACACCACATGCCCACTCCTCATATAAGGCTCATACACCTTACACAGCTCCACAACAACCTCACTCCCAAAATCATCTCCAAAACTCTTCAAATTCAACCCTTTTGAAGTTCTTAATGAAAGCATCACAATGTCCATAGCCATTTCCCATTAATCAACATCATCACCTTCTTGTCACAAATCAACTAATCCACCCTCCAAATTCTTGACATAATCTGTGTAATCTTTTAACTTCTTTGGTCTTGAATATCTTGTTCCATTGATATAACTAGCAAAACTTAAGCCAAACGCGTAAAAAGGTTTGTTTATCCAGTATGTGTAATTGTGCTTGCACTCAAATCCACTTTTGCTATAACTACTGACTTCATAATGCTCGTAATTAGCCTCTGAAAGATTTTTTGAAGCCATTCTGTAGAATTTTGCAGATCGGATGTCGTTTGGAAGTGGAAACTCACCTAGTATATACCTGTTCATCATGTGTACACGTTAATTTGTGTAAATAATATAAGAGGAAGATTAAATGACAAACTTACAATGAACCAAATTTGGTGTCTTTCTCAACTTGAAGGTCATAAATCGAGACATGATTAGGGTTGGCGTCAACAGTGAGCTTCAAACTCTCTTCCCACATTTCTTGAGTTTGGTGCGAGAGAGAAGAAATGAGATCCATGCTCCAATTCATGACACCACATGAATTAATAATCTCAATTGCCTCATGAACCTCGTCAACACCATGAGCTCTCCCACAAGCTTTCAACAACTCTTCTTGAAATGCTTGAACTCCTAAACACACCCTATTCACACCCAATCCCATCAACTCTTTTAGTTTCTTTGCATCAAATGTTCCGGGGTCCATTTCCATTGATATCTCGGGATCCAAACACAAACCAAATTTCGATCTCAACGTGTCAAGGACCTTAGCAACGAGTCTTGGTGGCACCAACAAAGGCGTGCCACCACCGAAGAAGACAGTTTCAAGAGGTGGGTGTTGGTTAAAATTTGTTTGCGTTGCTTCCATTTCGCGAATAAGAAGATGGATGTAATTTGAGATTCTTGGATCATCGTCTGCGGTTTCTGTTGAAGAAGAACCCAAAGCTAATATTGGGAAGTCACAATAATGGCAGCGTTTGCTGCAGAAAGGGAGATGGACGCAAGCTGAAGTTGGAGGGAGTTTGTAAGAGGCGGTCTCGAGAGTTGGAATGTTGGTTGAGGAATTTTGTCGAGCAGTTGGTGGGCTTCGTGGTAATGCACTACAAAAGACGCTAATTTGATGGGGAATAACTTTTGCGGGTAGAGGGTTGATAACATGAGGGCAATGGTCGACTTCAACAGAGATAGAGACAACTTATTTTGCGACAAAGTACATCGTCAATTTTTGGCAATTTGCCATTTAGTAATGTGAACTATGAGAAGTTGTGAAATGACAGAATTATATATATATTTATAACATTTAAGGGCTCGCATGATAATGATTAAAAGTAAAGGGACTGGCTATGTATAAACATGAAATTTAATTCTGAAATCGATATTGTAGAAACACCGGGAAGCAGAAGAGCTGCGAGAACGGAGCAGCCATGAACGGTGGCATCTCAATCTCCATTGATTTGACTTATTCCTACAAGAGAGATCTCCTGGTCAACACAGGAGAGGGAAGTCGCGGAGGTGGGCCCACAAAAATGTAGTACAAAATGATGACGTGGAATGGGCATAGAATAAGTTTCCTCCGTTTGCAGCTGCGTTTATGCTTCCAGCTATGCAGGGGTTTGACGAGAAAAGTCATGGAGTTGACTTTTTAGGCAGGGACTTTATTGTCCTTGGAAAGCTTATTCACATGTTGGGTACTTGTATGAAATGTTCAGCTATGCATCCAGAAGCATCCGCTTTAGCACTTCCGTTACTTGATATGTTGAGTACCAGGTTTTTTTTGTTTTTTTAATGGAAAGGCATATTTGTCATTTTCTTAAAACTACTGGTATTAAATTACAGGGACATAAGTAGTCATGCTGAAGCATATATTCGTAAATCTCTACTGTTGGAACAAAGTTCTAGTAGGATCGATAGATTCTAAGCAGAAAAACAATAAATGACGTAATGAAGAACACAAGAATGGTTTAACTGATGTCGAATGATTAAGCTTTAACACCTCAGAAGAGCTCGATTAAGAACTTCGACTGTAGAGGTGTTTAGGGTTACAAAGCAATAATAATAATAATCACGACTGTATCTAATGCATACATGCATGCACTATTTATAGCTTAACACTACTTAACAATCACGGATGGACAGGCCCAATCTGGATATACAAAACTAAGCCCATGACGCAACATAAAATACCCAACAATCTCCCCCTTTGCGTCAATGGAGCCGAAAGCTCAGTTCGGTTGAGCTATAGAATACTTCTTGATATACCACCGAAGCATGTCCGTGAAGTTCTTCTTGTCAGCCTCAGTGTTCTGCTTGCATCAATGAATGATATTAATTATGTGCTCTAAGCAGTCCGTTGAGAACAGATGCTTATCAACAAGAGCGAAAAGAAATCTGTTGGCTTCGCCTCTTGTGAACATCACTGTGAGATGTTTAGAATCAATTTGACCCATCTTCATTTTGTTCACATCTCCAGGTTTTGCAGTTGGCTTTACAGTGGGTTTCTTCTTCAAAACTTTAGCAATCTCTTGATCCATTGCAGCAACTTCATGGATATAAGAAGCCAACATCCTCTTCAGATGATCTAGGATCGGCTCATATTCTTTCGCATTGGTGAGCAATATGTTAAATAACAAGATCCAATCATGAGGATTCAAATTTGGAAGATCTGCCAGGGATATAACAGAAACCGAGTTGACTGAACCTCAGGTGATTTTGAAATTGACATCAATAAACCTCCCTGCAGGCGAAGGTTTCAGCACCTTGACAGTTATAATCTTCTGAGCACTTCAAGTCAGGTACTGAGGCTGACCGAACTTGAGATAAAAATCGATAAGTTCACGATCAACCTGAGGGTGAGGTGAGGGAACTTGAACAGTCGAATCAAAGCATTGAAAAGTAAATGCCTTTCGTGTTATAGGCATATCAAACTGAGAGTCCCTCGAATTCTCACAATCAAACGAAGCCACAGGTTCCAGCCAGTACACGCTTGGAAACTCTATTGCTTCTTTGATGAGCATTTCCCTAGTCCAAAGAGGAAACAAGGCCTTTTTGCAATTGAAGGCATCTTGCTCTTCCTTGTTCTTTCGCTCCCTCTCTTCTGCTTCCTTCGCAACCCGAAGGGTTTCATCCAATTCCTTATCCGTTTTCTTTCGTTTTAGGGCCTCGGAAATTGTTTCTTCTTCATCACTATCATCAGCAAGTCCCTTCTTCTTATCTTGATTTCCAGAACTCGAAGCTTCATTACCCTTCGGTTCTGTTTTGACAGTGACTTTCGGTTGAGTTGTCTGAACACCTTCTCCCCCTTGTTTTGGAGGTACGAATCTCTCCGAAACACCCTTCATCTCATGTAAAAGTGCAAGGGCAGGAAGAAGCTTGGAAGTCAGATGATTCCGGATGGTGAGGGTAAGAATCGGATCATGAGCACTAAGAATATTGTTTAGCATATTCTGAACATCACCAGCACAACTCCGGAAAACAGTTCGCTCAGTCTTTAACAATGAAATCTCCCTTTCAGCTTGAGCCAATTAAACTTTCTGAACTTCAATGGTAGAGGTTAGACGTGCAAGATCCTCCCTTAATGTGCTCTCCTTAGCCAAATCAGCATGGAGTGTATCAAGGCGAAAATTCACTGAGCTAAGAAGTGAAGTGTTCTCAGCTTGAATTGAAGAACGAACATTCTCAAACTTGGCTTGCTCCTCTTGAAGTGACTTTGATAAAGAGTCAACTGAAGCGTTCACTTTAGCTGCATTTGAATCAGCATGACCCTTGAGAGATTCAAGAAAAATCTTGGAACTGTGAATAAGTTCTGCAACTTCAGTTGTAGCCTTCTGGCAAGAAGAGGTTGAATCTTCAACTGCCTTTGTCGATTTGTTAATGGCCCCTATATACTGCTCAAAAGCGGTGTCCAAAAAAGCCTTTAGCACCACATCGTTATACGTCTTAGAAGAGGCAAGCAATTGATCAAGCTTTTCATCAAGACTCTGCACTTGTTGTCTGGTGACGGGAGCATCTTCATCTTCATCTGTGGGAAGCCGATAAGGACTGTAATAATTTGAGTCAAACTCAAGATTGGCACCACCGAGAGTATCACCAGAATCTGTTGAGGGTAAGGATGAGAGAGGCTTGGATGTAACATGAGGTTCGGTTTCAGTATTAGCCCCCGTATCAGATACGTTGACGTTTACTGGAGGTTCGGTTGTAGTGGTGGTAGTTGCTTGTGAAAAGATAGGAGGTGGTAAAGGAGTGGTAGAGATTGGTATCGTACTAACTGGTGGTGGTGGTGGTGGTGGTACAGAAGTGGTGGTTTGAGATGTAGGAGGTGGAGGAATGGGAGCAACCGAAACTGGAACAGTAGTTTTCGGTGGAGATGGAGGAGGTATTGGAATCTTGTCATGAAGTTGTTCAGGAGGAGTTGGAGAACGGGAGGTGTATTACCTCTTGGTGAACTATGAGGCTGAAAGTCTTCTTCCTCTTCTGTTGATCGCTCCCCATCATGGTCTGAGCTCGAAGGAGAGGGACTTTTGGATTTCCTTGCCATCTTCTTTACTTTCTTTGGAGCCGAAGAAGCGGCATTTTCAGCCTTTCGCTTTTTAGACTGGACAGGCTTAGACGAAGGACCTTCGGTTTCCACTTTCTTGGTAGTTGCCCTTTTTCCTCGGCTGGCTGGCTTCTCCACAACATCCAAAGCAGCTTTATGTTCAAGTGTCAGTTCTCTTGGTCCTTTGGGAGTAAGCTTTCTATAGTCAGCCATCACTTTACTTTAGCTTGATACACACCTATACATCGTTTCAGGTATTAAACCAATGTGAAAGAACTTGGTGGCATCTGAGAAGATGATCTTTTTCATGTGAAAAGTAGCCACAGAGGAGACCAATGCATCCTTCATGACTGGAATCTGTAAAGTGTCAATGGCCCTCCGGGTGACGATGGTCCAGAAACGACCACAAGAAATCTCTGAATGTCTCGTCGATGTGTTGAGACTTTGCACCAGTTGCGACCAAATAATCGACCCATAATCGAGGTTGATGCCATTGTAGAGACCATAGAGAATGGCCAGAAAAGCCTTACTGGTACCATTTGACCCAGCAACCCTCTCCGCTAAACCCTTGTTGAGAAGAGTAAGTAACCCATTCCATTGCGGCGGAAAACATGATTTCTTAAACTTCGTCACGGTGGTAAGAACATCAGTGTACCCCATCTCATAAAGCATTGTAAACAGCTGGGTTGTGGTGACGAAATCAGGATAGATAACAGAAGCATCGACGGCAAGATTTAACAGGGAACATAATCGCCCTTTCGAAATCGATGCCTTATGAGAGAAGATTTGAAAATAGATCCTCTCCTTGTTCTTGTCATAGGTTGCAGTAGAATAGACTTGGGATAGTAGAGACATTGGAACAGATTCCATCTGCGTGAGTGCGATAACCAGAGGAGAGTACTTGAGACATTCAACAACGTGGAGCATGTATGAATCATACAAGAAGGGGTTCAGTTGAATGATCAAGTTCTGATTAGGTTTGATCACAAGCAATGGGGATGAAGCAGTTTGATCTTGAGCAGATGATGATTCCGCCATTGTTGATATAAGAAAGAAGATGAATAGTTGCAGATCGCCTTGTGTATTTGAGAGAGTTTGAAGAAGGTAAGAAGGTACAATTGGTGCGAGAAACTCTTTATATACCGTTGCCAGGAGAGAGAAAGTATCTTCGTGATGATGATACGATCACTAAAACGTCGCCTGAGATCTTGAATATAAATATTCACCGTCAATTCATTGTTGGTGTTGGATTTTGGGTCTCACTTAGCACGTGGTGTACGCATCTAAGATCATAAACACAGATTTTATGCAACCATAAACCTTAGTGGTAATATCTGAGAGTCTCAAGGGTTACCTTGTTGAAACGAAAGTAGATGGAGAATGTAAAGGAGGTGGTTTAAGAACCGAAAGTACATCTGCTATATAAACGTGACAAAGCAGTAAACTCTTAACTCATTTGAGAAGAGTAAGGTAGCTCATGACTTGAGTGGATTTATCAGCCTGATTGGGAAGAAACGATAGGTATAGATCGAATCATTAAGGCCTTGCTCCTAGTCTTAGAGGCTTCGGTCTACATGCAGCAGCATGCTTCTAGGGACACTTAACTAGTTCATATCAAAATAATCATATCTGCCCTAGCTCCAATTT